CCCCACCCTACCCGGCAAGTTCCTCTGGTGGGATACAAAAATATAAAAACCAATCACCGTTTTGGTGAATCATTCCACAGCTGCTAAACCTCCGCTAATAAGCGCTGTCAGTCAAAACCCAATTTGGAAGCTAAATTGAAGACATGATGAGTGGTGAATGATAATAACGGTGAATAATGAAGTTCATTACTGATTGAGATCATGCGAGAGCACACAAACGCTCGACAAAAGGATGACACACTTGCGCGCCTGGGTGAAGCAAAATGCAGCCGGAGAGAACTTGGTGTGTTTTGAAAAATATCTGCTTTGTAGTCCAAATGGCACGTTGCCCGGACCACTGTGCGTGTGTGACAGCCATACAGCAGCTGCATGACAACCATAACAATCTGAATCTGTGCGGGTTATCCAGTCCAGCCGTCGCCTTTGACAAGTATTCTCAATCGACACAAAACACTGCACGCTTGGGAAGAGCGTCCTCCTCGCCACAAACACATTTTTGAACTGTGCGACATTCCGCATCCATCCGTCCATTTTCAACGGGGTTCGTCCTGTTGAAAATGGCACTCCACGACATGGATCGCTCAACCTTAGCATAAAGAATTTCTGGGTATCTTCAGTATCTTAGCTCGACGGTTTCTCACGCCTCTCAGACGAAGCGCCGTCTGAAAAAATCCGAAGCTCTCCAAATACCACCATCGTGACTAAGATTAAAATACAGTAGCGCAGTAGGCCGAGGTATTCATTCAAAAGACAACGTATATTTACTTTTATTGACGCCGCTGTAGCATTATGGGGTTGGAAAAGTAATTCATTATTTGGTGGATTTAAAAAAAGTGTGTAGTAGGTACAAGACTACAACTTCAAATGACATGTCACAAACTATTACTACTGTATTATCTTTCCACAGCTATTGCTGTACATCAAACATTTAACCCTTTTAGGGGCAGCAGTCAAAACAGTGGACAGCTTATCATGTTATCAGGTTACAGGTTATCATTACTGGTGCATTGAAAGGGTTAAACTTTGATATTTCAAATTACCTGTTGACCGATCAAACAAGTTCCAACAAGTAGCATTTTAAAGGGTGGATGTGACTCAACCTCAAACAATGCAAAACACCATAGCCCTTGTGTCACATTATACTGCTGTAAGCAACAGAAATTAGTACACAAATAATGTCACCGAACATGTAGAAGGCAATAAAACAGTAATCACAGGCATGTATTCTTTATCCTCTGTGAAGAATGACAGATATTAATGCAGCTTACTGAGGAGTGACTGTCTCCATGTATATATGGATCCTTTCTATTCAATTCATTGATGTCACGACTCCGTTTTTGGGAAGTACATTATGATGGAAACCTTTTGGGGATGCCGTAACAAATGAAATCCAAGTCAGCTCTCCACTTGACCTGTTCAAAAGTTTCTGACACAATGCTGCTCTCGTTGGTTTGCTTGGAGTTTTTATAGTTCACCGCGGAGAATCTGAGAACCCACAGTTTTTGCCCAAAAACATACCCTCGGCCACCCAGATCTAGTGTCAACATGCGTAAAGTCGATACACGACTTGTGTCAAGCTCTTTCCTGCTTCAAACATTGTCTGTACTGTTGATGAAGACACCAAAGAGAGAATATCGTGCCGGCCTTTGCTTCTCACGCGACTCTTTATTAGCAAAGCCAAACAAACTGAAGCTCATGACCACCAGCGTAAACTATTTCTGGACGCGGGCTCAGACACTGTTGTTGCATACTCAAGAGCCCCCGGGACAGCACTCAAGTTACTGACACACACGGAACACTAAAAAGCTGGTACTGAAATAAAGCTCAATGCAGCAAGCTCAAACATTTGTTTGCCAGAGCGGAGAAAAGTCAAGAGGAGGCACTTACATTCCCATCCAAAGACAACATAGAGCGAGGTTTAAAAGGAATGAAGCGGCAAGAAAATGACAAAATCCTCTGAAACCACTGCCACAAGTCCTCTCGGCTCCTCTGTCACCCTCTTTCTCACTCGCTCTCCGCCCGTCATTCTATCTATCCCTGTGCTGCAGCGATGGACGCCGCCGCGGCTCGAACTAGCGGGGAGGAGTTGGGAGACAAATCGAATACCTTCTTTTCATTCTTGTCATCCATAGGTATGCGCGCCGAACCGGGGATGCCTTCTCCCAGTAAGAAGCCCAGCCTTGTCATCAGCTCCTGGGTGGCGGGGGAGGAGGAGGAACTTGGCTGTTTCTCCACTTGCCGCTCTAGAGGACGAGAGAGAGAGAGAAAGAGAGAGAGAGAGCGAGAGACTCAATGTTAGTACCACTCCCACCGGGGCACTCTACCTGCCACGCTTCCCAGAGTGCCGGTGCCAAATGCTGTGCTCTGCACCATCCAGCTGTTGCACACCCTGAGAGGGAGTGCGAGCACCGAAGTCTGTGCGTGTGACGGTTAACGGCGTGGGTTTGCTTTCCAAGGCTTTCTGCGTGTTTACGGCGCTCACACATTGAACCTCTGAATCTCAATGAGTGTGACGTCAATTTGCTGCAACACAGCAAATTGACTTTGCGCGTGTGTTTTCGTCCGCCCTTGCTACTTCAAACTATTTGACCCTATAATAAGAGTTTCAAAACCACCATGATGGTCCACCAAATGCATTTCCAAAATCGGGTTTGTCTCCAGCGCAGCCTACCACCGCTACAAGTCTGACACCAGAACTGTGAGGCAGAGTGAGCTAGTCTAAATACTGATATGCGAAAAACAAAACCCGTCTCTTTAACTTTCATGACGAATGCAGTCATCTATGTTGGATTGCATCTCATTTATTTTCACGCTCTTGCAAATCCAACATTGAATCAAACATAAATGTCACATCAAACATTTAAACAGACACTGCAGCTTTTCATTTTGCGCAACGATTAACCAGTCGGCAGCGAAATAGCATGCAGCTAAGGCTTGAAGCTAATGTAGCAGTGACTCTTTTTTGAGACCAATCATGAGTAAAAGTAAAATATTCAATTTAAGAACTCAGCGATAGAAACACGGCAAAAAATTATCCATCGCGTTGCCTATTGATAACACTGGTTGGAGCGCATTTGAATCAGAAATGGCTTTTAGTGTCCTAACTATTATGGGAAATCATGAACATGATCAGTATGTTCTCATAAATGAATATTCATTTTCAAGAAACATGCAAAGTGGCTCTGACTTTCAAAAACTCGTCATGACTGACATTTTAACATGTTTTTTTGTTCGCAGGCTTGCCACAAAGCATACCAGTTACGTGGTGTCTAAGTCCGAACACTAGGGGGCACTATGTGGAAGGAAGACATGGATAAGAGATGAAGAAGAAATTAAAAAAAGAGACTGGTTGATAAGTAGGAAAACAGATGTTAACTCCGTGTGTGTCAACTAACTACAAAATCAGCTTAGAAAAACACAAGACAGCTTTTAGTGTTTTTAGAATTCCACAACTATTCCTGATTATTCTTATCAGCTTTTATCTTTGAAGGAATCACTCTGTGTTACTGCTGACATTATCACGATAGTTACTGTTTAGTTCAGCACAAAAATGTCTGCAAATAATGATGTCAATAAACAGATGGGTTTTTTTTTGTAGATCTTGGGCTGGCTGCAGTGCGGGTATGTATATATTCCTTACTGTCGCTTGTAAGATTCAGGCAGGACGCCAATGCAAATAAGTCATCATGTACGTCCATGGCACAGTATCTGCTGCTCAAATACGGAATATGAAAGACAAATCAGACAGAAGAACAGATGGGAGGGGAGCGACGAAGGCAGACGTCCAAAGTACACAAGCTTATTACGCTGCTCTCCATCATCAACTCTCCCCGCTTTCTCCACTTCATTTGCTCCTCCTTCTTCCACCCTCCTTCGGCGCCTTCTTCCTCTTGAAGATGCCGCCGGCAGTGAATCTGATTAAATGCGAGCCTGTCCAGTGGCAGAGTAGTCGAAGAAAATTCCATCAATTAAAAAGCCATTCAGCCCGAGATTTACACGTGCGACGCTGTCACGAAAACGCCCTTGAAAAGAAGAGCTTTCCTTGAATTACCAAACTGTTTATGTTCATTAACTTGTCAGCTTGTTAAAATAGATGGTTCTTGAAATTTGAAAGACTAAAGTGAGAGTAAAAACTGCGCATTTTGAAACGTGTGAATGGTCTCGGCTCCAGGCGGATAAGTAAGCAAAAATTAAATTGCATTTAAGTACGAGTACTGTTCCTGTAGAATAATATGATGGATCCGGGCCCCCAGGCCTTGAGTTTGACACCAGTGTGCTGTAGGGCCAACCGCTGGAGCATAACCATTCGCGCTACCATTGCTCGAGAAACAAAAGTGTCGAGGGCCGAGGCCTTGCAAATCTATCCGATGAATATACGAGTGCAATAAAAGTGACCATCAGCAGCAGTAATGAAAGCGATGCCGCGCTCTCAACAAGGACAGAGAGGAAGTCTTCGCGTCTCCTGATGGATTCTGTTCAGCAGAATGACGACACGAGCTTTATGCCCAACCCATAAAGGAGCACACTCGGGCTGGGATGGCGCTACCTTCCAGAAAATGGATTCATGCTCAACCGTTCCCCAAGTTTAATGAAACATCAGCCTTGTATGATTGCCTCGAAAGGCTCTAATTAACTCCTCTCGTCTTGATGAGTCCCGGTTATTAACTGACCCCCGTGCGAGTGCCCGCATGACCACGTTTGGGCGCATTCAGCACATTTCGAGCTCTCCTGTTCTGCCTTGCCACAATGAAAGGTAGAGATTTGGCAATAAAAGTTGAATCAAACGTGAATTTAGTGGATATGGAGGCCATCTCTCACATTTATGGCGCTTCCGCAACAGAATACAGCCTGGAAGATGATTGTCTGGACTGGTCAAACGACATATATATAATCTAATTCAGCCGTATAGATGTTGGCATTCCTGAGGGGGGCGGGGGGACAACCCAAACAAGGGTGCAAGGAACGGCTTTAGTTTTCTAGTAAATATAAGGAAGGTGGTAGAGAGAAAAAAAAAAAACAAGCAATGGTTTACGAGCAGGTGTGAAATAGCCGTCTTGCAGTGCAATGACGGAAGAATGAAGAAGGATGGAGGATAAAAAGGGAGGCAAGCGGGAATACACAAGCTTCTAAGAGCTGTCTCGGGCCTTCTCCCTGCTGAGAATGCAATCCAGCCGGCGCTCATTAGCAGCCGGAGCTTCACAAGCGCAAGAGCGGGGCCGCTTTAATGAAGCCTCGATGAGAACATGCATCCTGCCTCCTCGTTTGAGTTTTAAAAGTACCAGGTGATGAGCCCCCTGAAACCATTATTGCAAAACTCGCACGTTAGGGAAAAAAAAAATGTCTGACGAGCCTAGACTGGGCTAGACTGGCCCGCAAAAATGGTGGCCAGTGACACCAGAAGTAGATGTTGAGACCTGATGCTCCAGCCAGGCAGGACTGTGGCCCAACTAGTATTGAATTTTTGAGGCTGATGCCAATTCCGATATTTGGCAAATAATCATCTGATTAATTAAAAAAAATAAATAAATAAATAAATAAAAATAAAAAGAATTACAGGTAGAACATAATACGGTTTTACAATACTTTGTCCTTAAGTATTTGTTTGCCTTGATAATAACGGAGACAATAAATGGGTTGATTTGTTTCTGAATTGTCTTTATCTTATTTAGTCATCTGCTCATGTGTTCATCAAATATGGATTTTTTTTAAATGGCAAAAATCGCCCCCCCCCAAAAAAAAAAACAAATGGGCTGAATTCCCGAGTCCCCGAAAATGAACAGCAAAGATTAATGAACATTCACCAAGTGAGAAAACACGCAGCCAAGCTATCAGACATGAATTAATATCAACAACTAACCTAAAAGGCCACGGCAAGACAGTGAATTATCACTACCCAAAAAAACCCAAAAGAAATTACAGCCCATTCATCTACGCTGCTATAAATACATATAATTCATTCCAGAATGCTCGATGTGACATTAAGGCTGATTATTAGTTCTAAGAAGCAACAATGAATGATGACTTGACAACTGTGCCGTCTTTTAGAAATGGTTTCCACAGCTGCCACACAGGTTCACTCCCAAATAGACATCACAAGAAAATCCATCACTGTGAAGAAATGTCAAATAAGCGCGTGCACGTTGCCAGAACCCGGCTTGATATTCGGTGGCCAAATCAGAACCGCGAGAATGTGCTGTCGATGGCCGCATTGACTCCCAGCATTCGCCATTCTCTAAGAAGCGGGTTAGACTAAAAAGCTTAGCAACAGTTGCCATAACGAACTCCACATCATGTGGCCCGGCATCATGGGATTGAACACAAAGACGTGTTTCTAAAAAAAAAAAAAAAAAAAATGATGATGATAATGCTGTGTTTGTATTGATGTGGACAGAGATGCGGCAGCGGATAAAATCAACAGTGGAAGAGCTCATAGCTACACGAACAAGTACTCATATTTGAGTACTCATCTATACTTTGGGGGCGGGGCGGTCTTTTGGAGAGCGTCTTGATTGACGGGACCTTACGCTCAGAGTTGATTGACGGAGACAGCGCCGTCAGAGCACAGCTGAAACCGTACGAGCTCACTTAACCGCCACTTACAAATCCACCTGTGTGGCCAAACACGCGGACGAACATTCGAACAAACGCAAATGCACTTGGAAGGCGCATGCCTAAAATTAAAAAGGACATTGACACACATCCTCTGGAAACCCGATCCCCTTTGAAAGAAACAGCGGCGAGACATAACTCCACGCGTTTCTTTTCTCGGCCCTGGAAACTTGACCGGGATGAAGCACAACAAAACAAATGCATTTAAACTCAACACGCAAGCTGTACGTGAGTGTGGTCGGGAATAAAGAGAGATACACAATTAGACCTCTGAGTGACAGGAGGTCCAAAAGATATTGGCCATTCCTCGTTGGATCTTTTAATAATTTCTTCTTGACACGAGTCGGACAGCCCTACAAACAGACGACATCATCGTCATTCATTTCAGGTCACCTTGACTGACGGCTTTACTGGGAAATTGTGCAGCTGGGATGATATTACGACACATCAGGACAATCAGTAGACCGGTGCGGAAATATATATTTCGACAAAATGTGAGTGAACCTCACATAACTATGATCTGTTATGAGTTGACTTAAAATACTAGATGTGGTCAAAAACATCGACAAATACAAGTCAAAATGCACAATTTTGTCCAAAAATTTTAAAAAAGTGATTGCATGCTCCTATCGCTGCGTGCAGATTGTCATATTACAGCTGTGCTCTTGCAGGTCGACATCATTAGCTTTTATATAGTTCCACATTTTGCATAGAGAGTAGCATGAGTTACCTTGCTGCTGTAATTTCCCAGCAGTAAACTACTTTTGTGAGGGGGGGGGGCTTATTTAACAACTGCAGGTGGCTGCTTTAATAAGACGCAGGTAGCGAGCTGACCTTTCTTCAGTTCTGTAACTTGCAGTAAGTCAGTAAAGCGGAACCACAAAATTGCAATGCCCCGAGGGTTGAACAATTAGCAATGGAATTCCCGCCACATCGATGCTTGAAAATCTCAAACATACACTGCGTGCAAACTTCATACACCCAGACAAAGTGAAGCTTAAAAACCTCCAAGTGAATAATAAAAAAGGGACAAAACTTTGCGCAACGACTTACCAAACTCCAATTAAACATCTCCATATTTCCATGACATGAAAATCTGGAGCTGCGCAAAAGTTATCTCCCTGAAGGGTGCCAGCAAAACACCACGCAGCTGTCAGGAGGTAACATTAATCCAGCCTGCGCTATCTGCTGATAGCCCACTCCGAGCCTAAACAATGCTGCGAACTGAGCTGAATGTCAAGACACACCCCCCTTGTGCTTTGCCATGTAACAGTCGCTACTTTCTGTGAGTACGCGTCATGCGCAACCACTTTCTTATGCTGCCTTGTGCTTTCTGATAACACTGCCTGCATCGTCGCAACAACCCGGAGTGGGGCATGTGAGCCTCCTTTGACGAAAATCACAACAAAGCATGGCTTCAAACGCACGCAGAGGACGACGAAAAGACGGGCAGCAATTTCGTTTAAAAAAGGAGTGAAACTGTCGTGTTGAAAGCGATGCAGTGGAAAACTTGGGTGCCACAAAGAAAAGAAGTTGGACGCACGAGTGCAACCAGCGCAAAAAGTCGAGAGCCCTTCCCACGTCGCTACTGAGCGAATGCTGTCGTTTCTGTTCCGCCACGTGGATTTTTCATTATGTGGTGGGATTTTTGCTATAAATGTTCAGTTTGGGATCATTTCACACTGAAAAAAAAATTAAATAAAATATTGCAAAGCAGAACTTATACAACTGCACGTCACAGACACCCACGTCACTCACCAGGCCAGGCCCGCCTTTTAAAGCCACACACATTCAAAGTCACAAACACAGGACTACAGTATAGAACTTGGCAACCCAAAGTGGACAAAATAACACGCATATATTGTATTGGTGTCATGCATCAAGCTTCAATACATGTATGTATATAAAAAAAAAATCCTAAAAATAAATATAGTCACTTTTTCATGAGGGACTCATGAACTGACGCCACCAACACTAGAAACGAGGGACGACTTTATTTGTTTTGCAGTTGCTTAGAGGCGCACCGGCATCACGGTCCCAAACTGCGCTCACCCTTGGCGCATCCGCCGTAACCCTAAAGGCTTACCTCACACAAAAATGTGGAAACAAAATGAGTTACCGAAGTCGTGCCATTAATGAGAGAACGCAGCGCTCGAGTGAGACAATGCATCCCCGCTGCACACTGGAAAATTGACTCCTCTGTAATACAAACAGGCGCTTTCAAATAAACACGGCGCCCTTGTGTTTGTTTAAGGGGTTGCATGATGGGATTGGGCTCAGACACGGACCACTCATGTAGGAACTGATACAGACCTTGCATTCATGGAGACCCATGACCCAGCAGCAACAAAGCTTAAAAAAATAAAATAAAAAATAGCACGTAGTTTCACTTTGGGGGCATATGTCATTATACGATGAGGATCCGAGTAAGTGCACCATTTTCCAATTCCCCAAGTAGAATGGAAACCAAAAGATAGATGAAAGACAAGCAAAACTCACCATTGCGGGTTGACTCCTTGTTGTCGCCCGCTTTCCTTAGCGCTGAAACAATGGCATCGGAAGGTACGCGAGGACTCTCCACATACTTGGGCTTCCTGACTGGACCTGCAGCCGTGAACCAAAGAGACAGGGAGAGAAAGAGAGAGAGAATGAGAGAGACAGAGAGAGAGAGAGAGCGAGGGAGTGAACAAGAGGGCAGGAGGGAGAGGAAAAAGAAAAGTCAAGACGAGAGGCGTCAGAGAGAGAGAGAGGGAGAGAGAAGAGGGTTATTGCTGAATTAACATGTTCCAGATGGGATGAGAGGTGGTGGTGTCTCTGTTGGGACTGTCTTGGCCATACTCTGGTGCTAACAAAAACTATCTCACACACACACACACACACGCACACGCACACGCACACACACACACACACACACACACACACACACACACACACACACACACAGTGTCAATAGCAGCTTCGGTCTGTCTGACAAATCCAGAAATTGTCTGCGTGGCTAGAAACTCCCGGTAACAGTGCTAGCCAGCTCTGGGAATTTAACCGGCAACAGGAAACCACAGCAATTAGGCTCTTGGCGAACTTTTTTTTTTTTTTTTTTTTGGAGAGAAGAGATTAAACACACATGCACTGCTGGGGATGGGAGGAACAACAAACAGTCTCGCGCTTTTTTTTTTTTTTTCTTTGAGCTACCCTACAAAAGCATGCCCTCCTATTGCTGTGAGGATTCATTTGAAGAGATTCAAGTGCAGGTGTTACGGGCGGGTAAATCTGGCACAGTCGTACTGGGCTTTGATGCGTGTCATTAGCGAGCAGCTAAGGTCAAACGACTGCTCTGTTCTCTCGGCGAGTAACATGACAGAATTAGAAAATCCCGGACCGCCACAAGTGCGAGCTCCACATTAACATTGTCATCCAGGGCTTCATCCAGAATGCTCCTAAATTGTTGTATCGAGCCTCTAAAATTTGAGATAAGGCCAATAAATTTTAAATGAGGGGCCACTGTTGTCGTTGTAAGCATAGTTAGTCTGGATCTCTGGACTAATTGATCAATTAACTGTGATGGAATTGGTTAATGATTTTGTCTTCAGGCAATTGTGGCGAAATAGAGTGTGGTGTTTAGCTATGGCCATGAAACCTCAAGACAGCATTATGATTGGAGTTTACATCATCTCCCATCACATTAAAAATAATATTTATTCATGTTACGTTATTTTTCCCTTTGGTCAATTAAAAAAAAAAAAAAGTGACCATTCGTGTCTGCTTAGCACATTCACCTCACAGTTCGGAGGTTGAGGGTTTGAATCCGGGCGCTGGCTTTGCTGTGTGGAGTTTGGATGAATGACAAAAAACACGAATCGTTTTAACTCCAAATAATAGATGATTGTAATTGTGTTTAGATGCCTCAAAATGCCAGCAAAGCATTCGAACTGGAGAGGACCAGAAACACCATGCATGTAGGACGTACACAATCATGTACCCGCGTAACATAAATTATTTCATTTAATGAATATTTAATAGTTATATTACTCAACACAAACAAAACACCTTTCTGTGAAGCTCATCAATAGTATTAGTTAGCATATTAGCCTAACCGGTACTCTGGCTTCCTCTCACTTTCCAAAGACATGTATCTCCAGTTAAAAACTGACATGTCCATATGTGTCACCGTCAATGAGGACGCGTGCTCGGCTTAGCGACCAGTTGAGGGTGTGCCCGCCCTCTCGCCCAAAGCCAGCTGAGATGGGCTCCAGCTCACCCGCCACCCGAGTGAAGATAAGTAGAACGGAAAACGGATGGATGTTTTGTGTTCCATTGCACTCTTTTAAATCCGACATTCTATCCATCTGCTACGTCAAAGATTAAGCTACTTTGCCGAGTGGCGGCAAATATTTGCGAAGAGGAATGACGATGAGGTGTTTACACTGGCAGGAAACTCAGCAAGGGGGGCGCGAGACTAAATAGCACACCATCAAAAGAGCAACTTTTGAGCAGCTCGCTCAACAGCCTTGTCCCGAGAGATGAACAACAATTAAACGGGAAAAAGAAATAACTCTTGAAAGTCAATGAATTAAAATGTTCTTGTCACTGGAATGACTGTACTGTATATGGAACCCAGACGTAGCAGAGAGATAAGGCAGGATGGTTGATGAGAGCCATTTCCTAATACCGCAACTAATACCACTTCCTCCTTTTCCAAAGAAGCATCCTTGGAATCAGATAAAACAAAATCCCTTGAACTAGAGCTGCAAGCACCCGCAGAGGGGTTGTGGGGGGTTGCGGTGGGGGTTGTGGACGTGACGAGAGACGGGGAGGCGATTGCCATGTGAGTTTGAAATGAAAGAGGCAAAAAAAAAAAAAAAAAAAAAAAAAGCAGAGAGCCGGCTAAGTTAGACTCACAGTGCCATCTATGGATGCGCCACATGAAACGCACGATGAGTCGCAGCATTCTCACTGCCCGAGGGAACTTTGGGAGCGAGAGCTGCTGCTGCTATCTTGCTTGTTAGCGCACACGAGGCCAGTCAGAACACAGAAACAAAGTTCAGCCGGTTGGAGCTAAAGGCGGCCTTCGTAATGGGCATCGTGTGGTGAACACAAAAACAGGCTTGACTTCACTTGGTTGGTTTGTATTCCAAAATAAAAGAGTCCACTGCCACTCCAAACCTCAACCAATCTTCACCCACGGATGGTCAGGAACACTCTATTACCCAAGAGTCACAAAGTTCCAATTAGAGTGAGATCACATTAAGAAAGCTCGACACGTTTTGGGTGCATTTCATCAAGGAACAGCAGGGTGTATTGTTGGACTAACCGAAACCATATGTTTGAAGTTCACGTTCGGTTTACATGACGACGAGCACAGGATGCACGCTTCCAACAACAAACATGTGGCTAGCTATTACAGTGGAGGTGGTTTTAGGACACATTTGAGGGTAGCAAAGTTCAGTTCAGTCCAGTACGGGATGCGTTATAATTGGCAAGGTAACGTGTCCCAAAATTAGCAACCCTCACCCTGATGCAGCTTACTTATAGCCCGTGCGGCCTTTGTCATTCCAATTTGCCTGTCGTGCCTAAGCAGTAGCTAGCAAGCTGGTTCACTTGTGTTGACTGGTTTAACTCATGAATTTGGTTGTTTATGTGACATGGGTTCATGATTGTGTACATGCTAGATGAACTGCGTTGGTGCTTGATGGCAATCTGTTTTAAGTGCTTTGTCGCCATCTTGTGGTGTCGAAACTCATGACAGTCTAATTTAGTTGAAGGATTCTAAAACGACAGAAACATAGCATTCCTTACATCGGGTAAAACTTCAGTGTGACTAGCATATGGTACTTCCAATATGGCGATGGAAATATTTCATTCCAAGGAAAGGTTAACAGAGGGTTGTCACTTTTGAGAAATGGAATGGGAGAAACCAAGCGCACAGCTTGTCTACAACGAAAACAACCCTGTGCGGCAAACACAAAACGCTGGATTCACAATTCTACACGGCATTGTGTTGATCTGAAATGAACGTTTTTCAGCCAGAGACTTTAGTCTGAGGTCAAAATGTCAGATCTGGCTTTGAAAAAGTGCAGGTTGAAATGACCGCCAGTAGCAAGACCGACAATGGTCGCGTAGAGTAGATGACACCGTATACTTCGATGTGTCAGAAAACGGATATGGGGGCGATGCTACTCAGGAGACGTCAGCCGCCATCACATCTCAGCATTCTATCTCAAACACGGGGACGTGACAAATCAAAGTCGGGACATGCCCCCTGCGGAGAGAACAAATGACAAATGCTTTATTCGGAGTCTTACCGAGCGCGGGGGGGAGCTTGCGAGCACAAGAAAACACAAGCAGAGGGATACAACGTACAATGCGTCAGGAAAAGAAAAAAGGTACAAAGTGATTAGAGGGTGTTAAAAATGCCTGTGGCTTAAGATTTCCGAAGTAACTTGACATAATCTAAACATACTGAGTTGATGATTCTACCCCGCCCCATCCGACAGAATCCAGTCAGTTCTAGCATGAGGCCATTTTTCCCAACATTCCTCAGGGCGGACTCCTGACCTTGTTACATTTCATTTCACAATGAGACAGTCCATCACATCGCCACAGTAAACGGAATACCAAGCAGTGCTTACAATGGCCATCTTTATGTTCCAAAATGTCAGAGCTCACACTCGGCGCACTTGCTCGCTTGATTCCGATTCAGAGGGATTGCGACCGAAACGGCTGGTTGTGCGTGTGTGACTCCTGGCTAATTGATAATCCGTGATCGGGAGGGTTTGCTGAACAGTCGAGGAAGCGTGACAGACGCGGTGCTTTGTGTGTTTTTTTGAGCGTGTGTGACGTGATTGATGATTCATTTGCTTCTCACGGCCAGACATTGCCGTTATTCCCCCAGGCTTAGGAAATTTCCACACTTTACAGCTGTGAGATTGTGACTAAACTTGTCAAATTGTATGTTTAACAGTCAAAATTGATCTCACGCACGCATGCTCTGGCATGATTATGCCCTCGCTGGTATCATCTGCGTGTTTTGTTTTGTGCATCATCATTTTGAAGACTATAAATCTGCAGCTAGCTAAAATACTTGTCATGTACCGTGATGGGTGGACCTGTAGGCATCGTAACGATTTCTTTGGCGGTATCAAGACTGTCGTGTGAGAGTCGGCCTGGAGCCACAGGGCATCCAAGACAGCCAGAAAAGATGAAGAAGAAAACTAAGAGCTGGAGTACAGAAGTAAGAATAAAAGCTAGGCTAAAAGCTTGTCTGGTCAATGCTTCTCTTTGGTCAACATCAACAATTTAGAACGGAAGAAGCTTTTTGGATTAAAGGTGAAACGCCGCCAACAATCAGAACAATCGAGTTGCAGATTCCACCTTCGTGGTTCATGGATTTGTTAGCATAAACAGCCAATCAGGTTGTGTGTATGGTGCACATTCTTGATCGTCAGCCCGAACTGTTTCCTGAGCAGATTGTCGAGGGGAAAGACAAAAAAGAAATCTTAGCCCACCCCACATCACAATACAATGACTCAGGATGCATTTTCAGAGACATCCGGGCATTAGCTGACTTTGATTACAAGGTTGGGGACAATACGAACATCTAGAATGATTATTAGTATGTGTTTGTACGCCACTTAATCATGATCCCATCGATATTGGACACACATTACGAGGCCTGACAGTTTCTTGAATTTCTCGGGCAGAATGTATCGATCGAAAAGTGGGCTTCCTCATAAAAGGCAAGCGAGGCAAGGGTGTGCATTGAAGTGAAGTCGAGCACAGTGTTGAAGTTTTCATCAAAGCAAACTGTCTAAAACAGGTCTCTCGCAGCATCACACGATCTTTCACGGTTCGGCACACCGAAAGACATCCATTATCTCCCAACGGGACGTCTGGTGCGCGGCGTGACCGGCCCAGAGGTGACTTCGGCGGAGCTCCCCTCGAGTGGCACTAAAGTGGCGTCTTTCTTTGGGGAAAATAAAGCGAAAACCAGCGGAGCTCATTTTTGAGTTGCGCGAGAAATGTGCCAGGAGGCAAGTAAGCCTTTGAGCGAAAAAAAAAGATAAATCAATCAAACAACCTTGCGAAATATGGCAGGTTCAAAGGTTTGGTTGATTGCATCAGCGATGAGGTGAGTAGGTCACAAGGATTTATTTTTTTTTAATATCATATTTATGTAGTTCCCACTCGTCAATGCCTTTAAACAGATTTTTTTTTTTTTTGCCACTGTCAGCATAGTTGACAAGGTTAGGCTAGACTGCAACAAATAACCTGTATAATATGTACTCCCTTGTGGATCGCTACATCGTCTTGACAACGCATTGATGGATGGTATTACATCATTTATGGAAATTTATTCCACGAGGGAACATATTTGACTATACATCAAGTATTGTATATATAAATATATATACACTGCAGCAAGAATTTTACAGACAAGTTCACCTAATGCACACAACAGTGCAAAACTACTGCACTGAAACATACTCCCCATTTAAATCTCGGTGCAAAATTTTTCTTCTTCGTGCAGTTCTTTCTCGACAAATTCTCCTGAATCTTGCATTGTGCAAGTGTGTGGTTCATGCACAATGGAAGAAAGGAAGTCATTCCCAGCCACTATATTTTGCTGGCTGCCTCGGAAAGCAAATTGAAATAAACCAAGGACTGCACCGAGGCGTTGGTATGCGAGCGTCAACCGGGAAATAAAAACAAGGCCGACATACAAATGAGCTGACAGGACCGGACAGAACTCGAGAAACTGAATACGCATTGACAACGAGACACGGGTGGGGAGGACATGATGGTTGACGGGAAACGGATTTGTTAGCCACACGGGTAAGACAGCGGCAGACAAGTTTGAACATTAACGCGGTGGAAAAAAAGAATTGTGATGCCTCCATTATGAGCTTTTGCAGTGGTCAGTCCGCCTCATACTGCACCATGGGCGGTCACAATTCTGCCAACGGCCCGCTGAAATTCAATGTCGCACAACACAATGAAGAGACACGGTGGCCACGAGCCACCCACATACACCGAAACCAATCTGGAAAGCCGCTTTCCATAACAAATTCAGGAAAACACCGCCCCAAATCAGAGCGAAGCTTACTCACATTTCGAAGAGTAATGAGAAATTCAACCGTCTTGACATGACAGCCATTTAAGGCCAAATGAAATGGCATCGTGGGCAGATCAAACTCACATTAATCTTGCAAAGCTGATAAAGGAATATTCAAAGATGATTAAAAATATAGACATATATCTACGATCGTGAGCATAAACCAACCTGGATAATTCAAAGGCGCATCTAATCAAAGAAAAATTGGGGGGCCGTTCTGCCGGGGCTGTGAAGCAATGCATTGCACAGTAACTTCTTGCAGCCATAGGAGGTCAGTGTGGCGACATGAATGTCAACGGACACATCGATGGGAAGATCAACTCTGACAAATGTTTCCACCAACCAACCAATTCCAGAGCTCATTTAGGAGGTCAGTAACTACATTAGGACACTTTGACGACAAAGGTTTCAGGTTTTCCGTCAGCGATCTATTATTTGCATGTGGGTGCACTGACTCATTCAAACAAAATGTCCTGACTCGGGTCTTTGAAAAAGGCTTGTAAGCTATTAATCCCAAAGAGGCAAGGTGCTGGTCAACACATGGCAGACTTCTGTGTTTCATGGCTTAGCTGATCAAAGCGGTGGCAGCCAGCGCCACCCGGACTTTTCGGCTCAGGCATTCATCAAACTCCCACTTAAATTTCAACGCCGGGGTTGCGTTCGCCGAGGTTCTCATTAAAAGGAACTTTCCAAAACTGCAATCGATTAAGCGGCGGGTCGGGAAAATGAAGCAAAGCCACAGAAGCGCTTTCTTGATTCAGTGGCGAAACCGCCTCCCTGTCGGATATCAGGAGCAGGAGCGGCGGAGACGCTTTGGATGCATTCAAGTCTAAACGCATGACTATAAAACGTGCTTTTGGCTTATTTTCAGGGTGAATAATCAAAACAATTTCTAGAAGTTTAAATTTATACACCAAATGAACAGAGTGACTTTGTGTTTTTGTTTTTAAGGACAGTCCCACGGCATGCAAGTACCTCTCATGTCATCACACTCGCAAGACATTGTCTCTTGGAATGCGCCGGGAATCCACATCTGTGAGCAGCATGTAGACGTTTCCCTTGATGGATTCAGACTTCGAAATGTCGTTAACGCATGCTTGTGAATTACACCGAGCGTTTTGAAGAGAAATGTGCCATTTCGCAGCATGGCCATGGCTGAGCGCAGGAGATATGTGGCGTGATTCGCACACGCTGCGGCTTATTCTGAAAGCGCATTTTACGTGCTGGAGCTACAGTGTTGCGTTCCGCCATTGCTGATTTGACTGTGACCGGGTCATTTTGCGCTGAGGATAAAGAATATGTAACTGACTGTTTTGATATAGTAATATCTGTCTACTTGTGTCGTATTACTGTCTGTGTTCACATATTAAAGGGTTGTCAAATAGATACTATTCATTAATTAGCACTAAGCGAGCAAACTTCTTTGTTTTTTTGTTTCATTTGATGTTAAACTTCAACTGAGAGTGGCGATAAACAGCTTGAAGCATCTTTTTTTTTTTTTTTGGTCGAATTTTTCTCATTGTGAACTGAGTTGAGTTGGGTTAACCATACAGCAAACGTTTCAAAAGCTTCTGCTTGCAAGTGAAAATAAAACCCCACCCAAAATTTAAAATCATCCAAATGACTGTTCGTATCTCAAAAAGCCGGCAGCACTTTACTACGACGCAAAACAAGCCAATTTGTTCAAATGGGTTTCTATTTAAAACAGAACCCAGAAGGAAGACACTCGCAGCACGCAGACACAATGTTTTCGTCGCAGAGTTGCGACATTTCCTGCAAGATGTGTTTATTAACTGGAGGTGGGAATTCTCTCATGTGGGTTTTCACAGGTACCTGTAAAGATAGTGGAAAAGCGTCTTGGGACCATCCCCCATTTCCTCGGCTGGCCTCCAGAACATCACCGATTTGTGCATCCTTTTTCTGTCCGTTTTTTTTTTTTTTTTTAATGTACGTACCACGTTAACCTCCCAAGTGGGCAGTTGCCTTTAATATGCGATCCCGCTTTCCTGCACACAAGGTCCTTTTCACCTTCATAAGCCCCGGCCTCTTCTGTGGTTGTGTAAGTGGATTCAGTAGTGCTGCGTTTTTTGGTGTGATTGGCTTTAATATGATGAGTCAATGGTCGCGTAAACACGAATAAGGTCTGAAAATGAGCATCTGGACTCGAACAGCTGCACAAACGCCGACGAGGACGCCATCGGATAAGATAAAGCCCGAGCGTATAGTATGTGTCAGTTAACTCGACACGCAGGAGTGTAGATCAAAGCCGTCGCCGGAATAAACAAAGGCCAGAACGGCGCACAGATGAGTACCACATGTAAGTGGGGCCACGTTGACCACTTAAAGGATTTCTATCCTCTTTGGTAAGATATTGCGAGACAGAAAGCCTCAGGTTAGAACAAGTTCAGCTACAAAAGGTACGACCTTGCTTTGAAGGCCCACACGGCTGCTGACAAGAAGGTTCTTTGCCGTGGCGGAACGAAGAGAGACACACACACAATCTATGGCCAGCCAGCCACTTTGTCAACGTAAACATACGGCGCTGATTAAACACGAGGATGAGGTGACACACATCGGATCACTGACAAATGATCGCCTTTTCACAGACAAAAAAACAAACAAACCTGGAGATCTTTTGCTGGGACGTAAAGGCAACATGTAGGATTGTCGTGGAAGAAGAGGCGAGGAGGGCAGAGACATGGACGCTCCCTTGGCGAGGCTTAGTCTGAAAAGATCATCTGGAACGTTAGGGTGGGCGCTGCCGAGGCCTGGGGGCACGAGGTTTCCTTCAGGTGGGAATCTTCTTTGGCCATTGTGGCTCTGAACATCTCCTGTTCGGGAAAACCAAAACATTACAATATTAGAGAGTTTCTCTTGAGCTTTGACATCCTAGCATGCAATAAAATGAGGACTTGCGTCAGACAATGTTACAAAGCTCGCCTTATTTATGTCCACTTTGTCAAAAATGTGTTTTAATCGGTAAGACAAGAACTATGGGTTACTGTTCAAATAAAGTAATCCTTCAAAAATAATTTTGTGGGCCTCACTAAAAATTGGTGACTGACACGGTCCCACAACAGTAAGATTCCAGACCCCTTGTTTTTGCTTTCATGTTGAGTCTGAAGCTTGAACGCCAGGAATGTAAAAAGCCTCGTTTCCCCTTTCCACCAAGTGGTACGCTTCAGTTTCGACGGTACGTGGTACAGCGCAGATCAGTAAAGCCTGATCAGGCTTGCCTCTTAACCACAGACTATGTAGGTGGGACGGCAATAACGGCATCGACTACCTAAATAGTGTAAAATCTCACCGTGAAGGCGGATCACTTGCCAGTTCCTTAAATGTGACAAAGGTCAGTGCAGCCTTTCTACATATCAGTCAAACTCAATGTCCTCTTAGTTTTCTGACACGCCATAAAACTTTATCAAGGCAGAAGCATTCTTTTCGATGCGATGACACAGGCGGACGTGGGTAAATAGTCAGCCAGGTTGACAAAACTACCGAAGCTTTCGTTGCCCTTTTTAAACTTATTTTGAATTTTCATTCATTTTTAACAGATGCCAAGTCAAGAACTTAACCTATATTCTCTTTCACAGCCTCGTCATATGATTTACTACAACTCCAAATGTGCTAATGAGTTTACCCGACGGCTGCTCTGCTCGGCAATCCAAACCCGGGATGTTAAAAAAAAAAAAAAAATTTGTGCGCTGAGAAAATACAGTCCGGCACGGAAGGATTTGAATCACGGAGCCAGTCAGCGAGCGCCCTAATCAACTGTCGGGTGCCAAAGTTGCACACTCATAATGGCTACAATTAATATGGAGAATGACGGACCTCGGGCTAGCATGTAATCCCTGACTAATAATATGTCAGCATGCCCAGTGCGCTTATAAAAGCAGATGCGGTAAACCACAGTAATGACAATGACTTTGCAGTACAGAGTAGCTCGCGCAGACTTTAGTAGACGTGCGGCGATGCCTCCGTCACAGATCACCGCAGTCTCAACTACAAGTCGCAAACATCTTTTAGCGTCCCGCTTCTCCCCTCGGGGGACGAGGAGTGTTGCTGGGCTGCCAGGCTAATGAGAAACAGAGAGAGCCATTTTCTGCAGGCCCCGGCCACAACACAGGAGACACAAAGCTGTCCAGTGTTTTTTAAAGGGCTCCTAAACAAAGATGAATGCCAGACACAGGAAGCGGAAAGGTTGCGGTGACACCTCTGCGTGGCCTCTGACATACAGAAAAAAACCTGTGAATGTCCCAAAGGTGTTTTAGCCAAGGCCAGGACCTGCTGTCAACCTGACCTACGAACCCCCAATGCGTCTATATTCTCACACTGCACAGCAGGCGGATGAACTACTGCCTTCAGACACAAGATGAATTCATTCCATGAGCATCTTAAATCATCGTTCCCCGTTGGAATGAATGGAAAGGCCATCAATCCAATCCAGCTTCAGGAAAAAAAAAAAAAACATTTCAATTTCACAAGAAAAAATTGCATTCTACATTACTGTAATTCTTTTTTTTTAAATACCTTAATTACAGTAACATTCCATGATTAATATACAAAATGTATCCCGAAAAAATGATCCACATTTAAAGGATTATCGTTTTGCAACGCCAATGCTCATTTCGTTCGCCCGCGTATGGCTTTTTGCATTGTGCGTTAGCATTAAGCTAATGGACTTTCGGAAGAAAAAGTTAGTGTATGATTTGGTCACAGCAACAGCTCCTATCTTGAAAAACTTTACTGTTTACCTCAAACGACAATCGCATGTCATCTCACCGTAATTTCAAAACGGTGGCAATGCACACGGTGCCGAACGAGCGTGTGCACAGGCGGTCCTGAAAGAACTCCTTTTACGGCTACATTTGTTCGAATCTCGTCGCGGTGAGTTCAGTTAAGTTGAAACACGTTTCGAGCCATGTCGCATGCAAAAGAGATTAACGCAGAGTTGTAATTTGGGGTGGATGGCTCTGAAAACAAGGGGTGCCACATAAAAGCACATCGTCCAAGTGCTGGGGAACAGGCTGCAGTATGTCATGGTGACGGCGCTGCCATCTGACCGATACTATACGCAGAGAGACGCAAGGACGGAAACTCACCAGAGCTATTTTGGTGACTTTCCTTACCCTGGTCGGGGCAAGGCCTTCAATTTTAGGCCCTTCTGTGGTGCAGGAAATCAACCCTTTCTAATTACACGTTGCTGCCCCAAGACCAAGCAAAAAATGATTATAGTGCCATGCATGCTCATTACCCCTCATCAAAGTCGATGGCCAAAGCCCACTAGGACATGCATAAGCCCGATGAAAAAGTCCAATATAATTTAAAGGCACTCATTTAAAAAAAAAAAAAAAAAGATTAAAAAGGTGACGATCTGTCCCAATTGCAGGTCAAGACAAGTTCTCACTCTACATAAGGCTGTGACTCATATTTTGACCAAGTTCACTGTTTCCTTTCCCCAAAAAGCTGTTATAAATATTTAATGTGACTACTGAATAGTACTCGGTCTTTTTTCAGTCCGCTCCAAACACATTTCTGAATTCACCTCTTTAGGGTGGAGTCTATTTCAGCTCTTCAAGACTTTCCATAACATGCCTGGACATTTGATTAGTGTTGTGGCATCATTGCGTTCTGTCGGTGATCTGGATTTCTGGATCTTCGAAAGAGTCCAAGGCAAGCTGTAAATGGTGCTCTTTCTTTCCGTTCAAATCTGCTGTGAAAAGGCAACGTTATCCCACTGTGAAATCGTTAAGATTAATGACTCATAGAAATGTGGTTTTTGATTCCGAAGCAGGATTCGGGACAGGCCTTGTAATTTTGGACTCACGATTGGGCCAAGGACCTTTACGTTGTCACCGTACTACATAAGTTAAGGATGTTGTTCCTCAAATAAATGTATGAAGGCCACAAGACTTGAGTTCAACATCTGCAATCTCTGATCCTTGACACAACACTGCGTTAGGAACCAGCAGTCAACTTAAGCTGATAGAACCACAAAGGGTTTTGGGTTACTTTGAAAACTGCTGTCAAGCACCACAGTATTTAGCTACATTAACACATGCCAGCAAAAACTTTGCTTAAGGCCTTAAGTAAACTGTGTCCGGAGGCAATGATGGACCATCGCACAGTGGAAACATTTACTGTGGTCAAATATGTCTTTTTTTTTTTTTTCTCAAAAGGGGGAAATGGACACTGAGCGAAGACAAAAAAAAGGACCAACGGGACTATAAGCAACAAGTGCTGAAACTGGGTTCTGTCTCGGTTTGGGGTTGTGTGAGTGCCCTTGGCAAAAGCAAATTGCACTTCTGTGATGGCACCATTCATGCCAAAATGGAGATTGTTTTTGGAGGCACACGCGCTGCTTGCAAAACCACGTTTTGGACACACGACGGAGGCGACGAGGAGCAGGCCGAAGGTGCTGGTCGCGGCGACCTGCAGACCCAACCTGGCCCAAGACATATTCCCACAAAAATAACATTTGAGCACATTCATTTTATGGTTTCTGTGGCACTATTGCTCTTTTTCTCAGGTTTAAGTTTTTTTTTTTTTTTGATAAAACACATCCATGGGAGGATACACAAATACAATTCTGAAATCTTGGATTCCATTCATCCATTTTCAACACCGCTTATCCTGAAAAGGGTCACCAGAGCCTATCCAAGCTGACTTCGGGCAGAAGGCAGACTACGCCCCGAACTGGCTGCCAGTCAGTCACAGCGCACATATAGAGACAAACAACCATTCACACCCACATTCGCACCCTCCCCGAGTGGGAACCGATCCACTCCGCCCGCAAACAAGTCAGGCGAGTGTACCTTGACACCAGGGGTGTCAAACTCATTTTTTGTCGCGGGCCGAAATCTCAGCGTTATTTATTAGCCATGACAATTTGACATTTCGGTACCCATTTCAGCAAGAATCACGAAAGTTGACACATATGATTTGCTTCGGTGGGCCACATAAAATGGCGTGAGGGGCCAGATCTGGCCCCTGGGCCTTGACTTTGACACCCGTGCTCTACACCATCTGCGATTCCAGCTTGGATTCCGCCGTACAATTTTGATATGTGAATGTGATGTGAGTGGTACGCTTTAAAAAAGTCGCACCTGTCATGTATGAAGTCACACCCGGTCTCAGGAGAGCTCATTTCGGCTCGCGCCGAAGGACTAACTTTTCTCATTCACGTTCACAATATGAACTAATTGTGCAATTTTTATTTTATGGGGCCAGATCTGGCCCCTGGGCCTTGACTTTGACATCCGTGCTCCACACCATCTGCAATTCCAGCTTGGATTCCGTGTGAATGTGAATGTGAATGTGATGTGAGTGGTACGCTTTAAAAAAGTCGCACCTGTCATGTATGAAGTCACACCCGGTCTCAGGAGAGCTCATTTCGGCTCGCATCGAAGGACTAACTTTTCTCATTCACATTCACAATATGAACTAATTGCGCAATTTTTATTTTATTTTTTTTGCATCAATTTCAAAATTCATTGCAAAGAAAATATAGTCGACTAACAAATAAGCAGCTGTTCTTTCTTCAGGTAACTCACCGTCCTGTCGATGAGTTTAGACTGCAGTTAATTATACAGTAAAGGCGATGAAGAAAATGAATAAAGGCCATAATGAATGCAAATTCTTTCAGGGGACGAACAAAGCACGAAGGGGCAATTTCCCCCCGCTACGCCGAGTGCCAATGTGGATTCCCTGTGTACTTCCGAGACCAGGGTGACACTCTTGACAAAAGCCGTCACGGTTAACACACTACGAGCCACAGTGGGAAGAGAGAGGGCCGGTCAACAAGCACAACAGATTGGGGGAGGGTCTTCGG